GTATGTCTGCAGAATGATACCGCTGAGAAGAGTAACACTTCGTGGAACGTCTTTTCTCCTACAAGACTCAATGGGGATTTTTAAGTTGCTTAAACAAATTTTAGCCTTTGAATACTCTTTCTTTTTATCCCACTGGATTCGTTTAAACATGTGATGGTTGTTTCAACCGCTCTTAATTGGTCGCATAAATAGTGTGTACAAATTGACTTATCTAATTAGGGTGAATTGTTCAGGCCGACTGAAAGCCTTATAATCAGCTTTTCGCGCAAACTAGCAGCACTTTGAACTAACATTTTTTGTGATATCATCTCGAAATTTTTTATCGCCCTCTGTCCATTCGATTGTATTTGCTAAGAATTACTATTAAGTGTAATATTAAGAAGCTAATTACTCTGGAATGTGTTCGAAGATATACAGTACGGAGCATAAGCGACAAGATTAGAAATTTTAAAACTAATGTCAAGTCGGTGATTATGAAAAGTTCAGAGGCTTGATAAGCGCACCAGACCACTGAAGACTTACATCTACTGGCTTGATACTAAAGATCACATGACCAGCTAGAAAGGGAAAACTCTGACAGTGCAGAGAATCCTCCCAGAACTTATTGTCGAATATATATATGCAAAGGGAAATGGAGGTGTACAAGAAACACACTAAGGAGACCGTTGAAGGACATCACACGGCAGGTCCTCGAGTGGAATCCGAATAGGAAGCAACGTTTGGGTGTCCGAAGATGACATGTAGGAGGTCATATTCAGAAGAAATTAAAACATTTAAACAATCCTACAGCCGGCTTAGAGGGATTTCAGATGACATAGAGTAATCAAGATAAGCTGCTATAGTCATAAGTTCTACTCAGAACGAAAGGAACGAATCATAGTGATATATATATATATATATAATTGGGAAGATCTTGTCAATTTTATTGAAGGGTCCGCTGATGTCAGAGGAGGGATAAAGCACAAGCTACTAAAAGACAGTAAATATGTTGTTTACTAGAATTTCACTCACTCTTAACCTACAAATGATATGAACTGGCTTTTTGGTTTGTTTCAGTATTAGTAACTTACTGCTGGCTACGGACCACAATGGGGTAAGTCAGGATGGGATCGACCTTTTCTAACCCCCTCTCTCCAGAGTGGAGAGCCGACATAGCTGGATGCTGGTCATCTGAGAAAAACACCTTACTGATGTTACATCCCTATTCTTCATCAGGACGGCTTCGCCTACAGACCCCATCATAGTGTAAAAAAATCTTAGACTATGATAGTAATTGTTTTTAGTCTAATCGCTATCCCAACAATATTCCTCGCATGGTAGGACCTGCAGAAACATTAGTTCCAGCCAGTGTAGCTTGTTGGGTCATTGAGATATGCAAGCCCGACTACCACGAAAAAGTAGCAGCTATCAGTAGGGAAATCAATCGACGAGGTTGTAAAGTTACACCGATTGAGATGGTTAAGATATGTGTTACGCATCTCTAACCATCGCCTTCCTCGACGGGAAATGTTAGCTGACACAGGATCGATCAGGTTGAAAAAGAGGAAGCCAGTGGTGGTCTGATATGTATCCACATATATATATTTATGTGTGTGTGTGCATGTTGGTCTCTCTTTCTGTTTGCTCGGTTAGTCTGTGACCACTTCACTTGTGTGAACTTGTCTCCTTTAATAATGTGTATTCTCCTTATATTATATTATATATAATATGAGTGTTTGTTGACAGTCCGTTGCTTGGTGACATATATCCATATATGTTTGTTGGCATGTCTGCTATATTCGCTATGTATAATTGGATCGACACTCCATTATAATTAGCCATTCATGTTAAGACTGTCTAATGATTTTTCCCACGCTTGTCTGAATTATTTATATATATTCGCATTCACAATTTGTGTGAACTACTTTACTTTACAACTACTTTACTTACTTACCACTTTGGTGTGAGACCATTTATTTTCGTCTCCTTGTGTTTGGACAATAGAAGTATCATCGCAAACCTAGTGGTCTTCTGATTTCCGCCTTCTCGCGTCAGGACTATTAGTTTCTCGACCAGTCCATAACAATAATTTAGCGACGAGTACATAACAATTTGGCGACGGGGAAACTAGAACATAACAATTTGGCGACGGGGAAAACTACTATTAACCACTCAGCAGCAGCAACATAACAATTTACTATGGATTATTCTAAATTGGAATTATTGTTTGAACGACAAATGAAATTAATGGAAATGTTCGTCAACCAACAGACTGGTCCAGCTTCACCTTCAAGCAATCCCAATCATACCATGCTACCATCTGTCGACGGAATTGTGAACAGCATTTCACAGTTCAATTATGACCCAGAGGCTAATGTCACTTTTGACACATGGTATCAACGTTATGAGGATTTATTCACTGTTGATCTCGCCTCACAAGACGATGCCTGGAAGGTGCGAGTTTTGCTACGTAAATTGGGTCCGGCAGAATATGAACGGTACTGCAACCTAATTTTACCACAGAAACCACGTGACAATTGTTTCGATGATACAATAAAGTTGCTGCGTGAACATTTCGGAGACCACTCCTCATTATTCAGTATACGTTATCGTTGCCTCAAGCTGGCAATGAATGAAAATGATGATTTTCTTACTCACGTTGGCACAGTCAACCGAGAATGTGAGAGATTTCGACTCAGGTCCTTAACAGATGATCAGTTCAAAGCCTTGATTCTCATATGCAGTCTCCAATCTCCTCGTTTCACAGATATCCGAACTCGACTGCTCAATCAGCTAGAACAAAATCCCAAGTTAACATTACATGACATAGCTGATGAATATCAACGGCTGATTAATCTGCAGAAAGACACACACTTGGTCGAATCAACACCTCCGAGAAGCTCTGATATTCGTGCATTACGCAAGAGCAAAAATCTCTCATCAGCTACTCCTGACCCACCTACTTCTCCTAATGTTCCGCGGAAATCTATACATACTCGTCCAACTTCACAAAATACGACAAAGAAGACCCCTCCATCACCATGCTGGCATTGTGGCGCGTGGCACTTTGTAAAGTCTTGTCCATACAAAAATCATCGTTGCAGCAAGTGCAAGATCATCGGTCACAAAAATGGTTTTTGTCAGCCACGCCAACTCAGATATCATAATCCAGCAAAAGCTCAACAAAATGTCGGTCCTAAATCTCCAAAAAGATCACTGAGTCTACGTGCAACCTGTCAAGTCACAACACCAGCTATGCGGAAATATATTGACCTTCAGATGAATGGTCATGATACTCGTCTGCAGCTAGATACTGCCTCTGATATTACTGTTATATCAGAGAAACTTTGGAATTATATTGGCAGACCACCTATCACCAATACTTCCCAGTCTCTTGTCAGCGCCTGTGGTGGGCGGCTCAAACTTATTGGTGAACTCAAATGTTCTGTTTCCTTCCGCAATACCAAATTCACAGGAATTTGTTACGTCACGAAGAATGATTTAAATGTTTTGGGACTTGATTGGTTCGATCGTTTGCATCTGGCTGATGTCCCACTAAATTCTCTACGCAATACAGTGAAGAAGCATAAAATGCTAGACAATTCCGGACGGAGCCGAAGCCGCAAACCCAACAATCAGACGAAACGACAGGCGTCAACAACAAGCCCAAAGGTCCCAGATAAACCCCCAGGTAAACATCCTACTAATCATTCATCTTCTCAAAAGGGGAGGTGATATGTATCCACATATATATATTTATGTGTGTGTGTGCATGTTGGTCTCTCTTTCTGTTTGCTCGGTTAGTCTGTGACCACTTCACTTGTGTGAACTTGTCTCCTTTAATAATGTGTATTCTCCTTATATTATATTATATATAATATGAGTGTTTGTTGACAGTCCGTTGCTTGGTGACATATATCCATATATGTTTGTTGGCATGTCTGCTATATTCGCTATGTATAATTGGATCGACACTCCATTATAATTAGCCATTCATGTTAAGACTGTCTAATGATTTTTCCCACGCTTGTCTGAATTATTTATATATATTCGCATTCACAATTTGTGTGAACTACTTTACTTTACAACTACTTTACTTACTTACCACTTTGGTGTGAGACCATTTATTTTCGTCTCCTTGTGTTTGGACAATAGAAGTATCATCGCAAACCTAGTGGTCTTCTGATTTCCGCCTTCTCGCGTCAGGACTATTAGTTTCTCGACCAGTCCATAACAATAATTTAGCGACGAGTACATAACATGGTCAAACCAAAACATGGCTTCATCAGTCAATGAAATCAACAACAGTTAGCTTAAGCCACGTAGGAAGGTGTAGACTGGCTTTCTAGTTGGAGTCCTCTGAATAGTAAAAAACCAATGTCTCAAGACAATTGATGATAAGGCTCAAAAACGTTCTCAATGATGGAGCAGCTGCATTGACTCTTTATGATTTATGATGTCCAATAAAATCCTATTGTTCGCCCATATTACTTTTCATTTTGCGTCATACTTCTGGTTATCATCTCTCTTTAATCTCTTCTCTTGTTTTGTATGCTATAAGGAGGGAGTGTAGCAACTGGAACTGCTACACATCTGCGCAAAGTTCTACGTTGAAATCAGTCAGTCAATCAGTCAAATGATATGAAGTTGACAGTGAAGAATCGTTGTCTACAGAATTCAAGATAGACATAAATTCCAATGCCAATCCATGTCCTGTCTAACTATGCTTAAAATTTTCGACGAATGAAAACTCAGATCACAAAAAAGACACACATACTCAAGTAGACACTGACAAATATCAAGAGACAATAAGATAGAATGTATATTTTCTTAATGTCAATCTGTTACAATTCTGAAACAGACTGAAAAACAAAGATCAAGATGTATAGCAAAATAAAATCTCCAAATGAAGAAAATCATACATATATGTATAAGCATAAATATCTGCATATTTATGCGAAATGCATTGACACATAGAATACATATACATTGAATATATATATATATATATATGAGGTAAGTTAATTCAAGTTCATTTCTGACAATTTGACAGCTCTACGACCTAATGCCTCTGCCTTGGCAACAGCTAACAACTCCGGAGATGTTTGGCACCAACCAGATCGTCTACGATTAGCAACTAGTGAGGTATACTCTGGTGACTTAAATGGAGATTGTTTGCTTGCATTGTCTGTTAAATGTTGATGGTTTTTCCGTGTGGATGGTGACGCTTTTGGCGATTCAAGTTTAGGAGTGGACTTGAGTACATCTTTACGAGATCTGCTTGAGTTTTTCTTTAGACTAGCGAAAAATTCATCACTATCATTATCATCATCACTGTCTGAGAACAAATCGATAAGTCGAGTTCTAATACGCTGTTGACCTGGAAGATTTGTATCTCCATTGCCGGAATTCGGTAAACCAGATTTCGGTGTAAGTGATGTCGATTCAACTGGTGCGGATTTTTTATTTGGCGAAGATGCATGTAAACTCTTTACAGCATTACGTTTAGAACTAAATAAATGCAGCAGAAAGAAAATAATAAAACAAGAGCATAAGTTGTATTCAATGTACAACAAGATAAAGACAATCATAGGTAATATATACATATTCTTGCACTGTAATTTGATTTCTTAGAGAAACCCAACTAGACAGGGAATAATTCTCACGAAGTGGAACTGACAAAAAATCAACTAAGAAATATTTTTGTTTCAAACTTCTAACCATACAAAACAGAAATGATAGATTGATGGGGAGGTTCAGTAGTTTAGGCACTCGATATACACACAATGACTTCTGCCTTCGAATCCCAGTCCACTTACATCGGTTGATGCGACCATGTAGTACCGAACATAGTGAACTATAAGGCATGGAGTTTAAAACATGAAATCACCTTCCAGCGGTAAGGAATGTAAATGGTCGCAGCCAAGTCCACTTTCATGGAATTACAAATGAGCGATATCAACTCTGTGGTAGTCGATGATGCACTGACGGCATGAGACATATGGTGGTTAAGGTATTCGAATGCATTTCAACAGCTTAATAACATACGTTGTACCACCACAGCTTTAAATGTGTCAGTTGTGAAACGCAGTGCTTAGACAGAAACCTTCTTTGCATTGATGTAAAGAACCTATTTTTCAAATAATATTACTTGTAATGAAAACCAACTTCGATTTTGTTAGGATCCATGAAACAATGGTCTGTCTGTTTTCGACATAGAACTTTGCACAAATGTGCGGAAGTTCAAGTCGCCACACTCCGTGTAGCACGCGAAGCAAGAGAAGAAAGTATAAGAAAAGCATGATCGAAACAGTGAGCAGAGGGGTGAGACAAAGGAGGAGTAATAACGAAGAACAAAACAGTTTCATTGGAGATCATAAGTCACAAGGAGTGGATGCATCTGCGCCACTGAGAACGATTTTGAGCCATGTCACCAATTGTTTCCAACCATAGATTTTTACCGTCCCGAGGACCCCAACCAGTCAGGAAGTCTACACCTCCCTACGTGGCTGGCTTAGACCAACTGTTGTGGATTTCATTGACTGGTGCCATGTTTTTGTTTGACCTCCGCTAGCTCTTTTCCAGTCTGACCCTATATCCGCTAACATAGCTCGTCGAGGGAGGCGATGGCTTGACATTCGTAACACATGTCCTAACCACCTCAGTCGATGTAATTTCACAACCTCGTCGATTGATTTCCCCTCCTTACCTAGAACTCGACGCTTAAGCTCAATATTGCTCACCTTATTATGCCACTTCACACGGGAGATAGAGCGCAGGCACCTATGATCAAAGACAGCTAATCTTTTCATGTCTTCCACTCTCAATGGCCAGGTCTCGCAGCCATAAAGAAGGACAGAGCGGACTGGTGAGCAGTACACCCGCCCTTTGATCGATAGTCGGATATCTCGTCTATGGCAGAGAGGGTGTAAACTGGCATATGCGAAACTAGCCCTCTGTATCCGTGCTGAGATTTCGTCAGAGATCAACCCGCTGACACTGGCTGATGGTACTTCCCAAATAAGTGAAGCGGTCAACGTTCTCTACCACTTCACTTCCTATTTTTAAACTAGGCGTCGATGTAGTCCAGTCCTGTAACATCATCTTGCATTTGGCAGGAGCGAATCGCATGCCAAACATTCGTAGATTGCGGCACAAGGTGTTTAGAAGACTCTGCATTTCGTCAGCGTCTTCGCCTAGAAGGACTATATCGTCTGCATATTTCAAGTCAAAGAGATTATTCCCCGGTAGCAAGTCAATTCCTGAGTCGCTGAAGTCACTTAGGGTTAAGTCCATTAACACATCTATGATGAAGTTGAATAGAAAAGGAGATAATGGGCATCCTTGACGGACACCACTGGTCGTCATCAGTTCAGATGACAGCTCGCCGTAAGCCCTCACCTGGCTGTATGAGTACGAGTAGAGTGCCTTAATCAGTGCAATATATTTTCTCGGAATTCCCTTTACAGCCAAGCATCTCCAGAGAACTTCCCGATCGACAGATCGAGAAGTTCTCTGGACAGATCGACTGAAACAATGGTATTAAAAACAAATCACAATTCAGTGGAGATTTGCTGACGAAATCACAGAACGGATACAAATGGCTTATATGGCACTTGTCAACTTACGTCATCTTTAGCGTAGACGCGAAATCTGGCTATCGACCGAAAGTCGTACAGCAGTTCGCTCTGTTGTTCTCTATGGCATTGAAACACAAGGCCGTTGAAAGTGGAAGATATGAGAAGGCTACCTGTCTTTGACCACAGATGCATTAAATGGTATAATATGATGAGTAACATTGAGGTTAGGCAAATAGTGCAACGTAAGAAGAGTAATTTAATCAATAAAGCTGTGAAGCACCATCGATTGAGAAGGTTAGAATATGTGTTTTTTCCGTGTAACTAGTCTTTTTCCTTCACTTTTCAGCTCATAGTTCTCTTGAGTCTATTTTTCAGTCTTTTCCCTACGTTTGTTTGCTGTATACTCCATAGCGTGTTCTATGTTGGTATTCTATCTGCCAGTCAATAAGTGTAATACATTAACAACACAATTACACATTTATCCTTGTAACAAATATTAATGCAGTGGATAGACTATTATTATTTCTTTTAATTCCTTGAGGAACATAGGGCTTCAGCCGCACGTCTCCATTGCGTCGGGTTTTCTGCCAACGTTTTCACCCCGCTCGAAGTCTGCCCACACGCTTTCATCTCCTCTTCAAATGACCTCCTCCAAGTCACCCGACCGTGGGACGACCAATTCGCCACTTCCCTTTCGGTTTCGACTCGAGGGCTTGTCTAGTGATATCACTTGATGGTTTCCTCAGAGTATGGCCAATCCATCTCCATTTCTTCTTGCCTATTTGTTTCACAATCGATCCCCAGTTGGTTCGCTCCCAGAGATCCCTGTTGCTGATATTATCTGGCCATCTGATCTTGAGTATTGAGCGAAGACAATCGTTGATGAAGGTCTGTAGTTTGTTTGAGGTGCTCTGCATGACGTGCCAATTCTCTGATCCGCATAGTAGCACTGACTGACTTCACATTGGAGGTGAAAATCCAGATCTTATTTTTCATGCTGAATGCTGTTGATCTCCACGAAGAATTGAGAGTAATGGAAGCTTCCCTTGCTTTCACGATTCTCACTGCTTTGATACCCTGATGGGTTCCGTCCTCCTGTAGTTGAAACGATGCTTCCCAGGTAGGTAGCAGAGGTTGCTTCTTTCAGATTTCTTCCATTTATGCTGACTGTTGTCCGTTGTTGTTGCTGTTGGCCAGGGATCTTCATCACCTCTGTTTTCACTATGTTAACCTAAAGTCCCTCCTATTTTTGGTGCTTCTTATGCCAACTTGTTGATTTTCACTTGCATATCTTCCAGTTTTTGGGAAATCAGAAATTTATCATCGCCGAAGTCCAGATCCTCCAAGTTTTTTATAGACTATAAAAGCAATCAATTCCCCATATATGAATAGAACCCATAGTATATTAAAATATAAAAAAATGGAAAGTGATTAGAGTGAAATTAAATTTACACCTACGCGTGGTTAGTACTGTTTACTGTTGAACCCTTAGAAATATTCTTATCCGCCCTTGAAGAAGTACCCACAGGTGATATATTCTCCAATTGTTTTAAAGGACTACTACCAGGTGGACGACCTCTGGGCTTTTTAGTTGGTAAACTGTCTGGTGTTTTTGAAATGGAATTGTTAGGATCTAAATTTTCAACTGAATTCAAAGCACGTGAATCGTTGGACTGTAAAATTGAAAAAGAAAAACAAAAGAACACAAGCCATTTGTGAGGGTGAATTAACTTCAAGTTTATTGAAGGAATTAATCAATTAATTAATTACAACTTGGTAGTTTTAATCACAAAACCACACTGACTGATATTCAATACACCTCTCTAAATGACATCGATTCATAATGAAATTTAGTCGACATCTTATAAAACTTGAAATCTGAACTAAAGTATGATTGAGAATCACTCTCACCAATAATCTACTCATAAAATGACTATAAATAATAACAAGCATATTTTTCATATTGACTCCACTGCAAAGTGTTCTGTGTAATCATATTTTTACTTGAAATATGTGCTCTGTGCCAAGATTTTCATGGACGAAAGGATAAAGATCTACTCCGAGAAGTAATATTTGTCTTCGAAGACTTTATTATCGAATTTGATCACAAAAATCAACTTCAGTTAGATAAATATTGAAGTCCACAGAGTATTGGGCATCCATCTCGTCCTTTCTCAGGAATCTTCAGCAGTATGCAACCCATGACCTTACCAGGGATTGAACCTAGATTATCGTTAGGCTCGTACACCATGCCGACCCATTAATTGTGACTTCTGTCAATTTCCGGTATATAGCGTGATTGCCAGACAATGTCATCGTCAAATACCTGTTCTCACACCCGATTTGATCGACCCTGCTGGTCACAACTTACCAATAGAACTTTAGGCAAGTTCATTCTATAGTTAGCCAGTCACTAGTGAGAATCAGAGCACTTTTCAAGTGCTTCTTTGGAAGTGATTGGACCAATTATCAAGCTGCACCATAGTATGTGTACTTGATGGGAAAAATCACTGCGTTGCACCAGAAATTATACATACGACAAAAGAGAATGGTCAACAGGTAGCCGATTAAAAAGATTCCGAGGTTTATTTCGGGTTAGAATATTGCTCTTTGTAATAGTATTAATACTTACGACAATTACGACTACCTTAAGGTTGATAACCATGGTGTAGTGGGTGGCATTGTCAAACAAAATGGATGCATTAAAAAGGTATGTAACGGAAGCCAAGCTTAATAACAGAGAAATATGAAAATTCCAATACAGCATTTGGCTAACCCTTCATGACAGTCAATCAAGAAAACGATGAATATGCGAATATGCATAAGAGAAAAACACAAAAAATGAAGTGGGAGAACAGTACTTACTCATGAGTAGTGTGACAAGTAACACAGAATAAATGTCAGGCAGAAAATAACAAAAAATCCCTATTTGGTGTTTGGGTGCATACAGCTAAAGTAATCTGCTCCGGTGAGTAGCTTAATGATGAGCTGAATATTATCAGATAATTGCTCGGTAAAAAATTGTTATAGAGATAAGTGAATTAATAAAGAATACCTTTTTAGCGCCAAAACAAGTCAGTATAGCAGCAGCAGCTTCAAAGAACCCCTTGTTCACAAAAACTGCAATTTCATGGTGGTAACAACAATGAAATAGTAACACGAAGCCTAAAGAATACAGTAAAAAATGCAACCAATGCAGCAGAGGCACACCATCCCACTGCAATTTTTCGTTCAAGAAATAAGGATAAACTATCCAATTTCTCCTTTTCTATGAGCATCTAGTAGTTTGACTGCTTCTGTCGAGCTAGTTACTATTAGGCAGGTTCATCATCGGATTCCTGAACACCACACTGCTTGTTTAAGCAAGCAACAAGCAAGGTATACTAATAGCTCTGTTTTAACACCCCTTGTAGATAGTGAGCGTAAACCGGATGTTAATAAAGCACTTATTTATTTATCACATTCTGACTAATATTCATTTTGCTTTTACGAGTTCGTCTTTGCGATACAGCTGAAGTCATCGGGTCCCATATGAAGAAGACAGACCTATGTGTTCAGAAGAAACTTGTGCAACCACTCTCCTTACATTAGTAATCAGTACACCAATGTAAAAAAAACTGGCAATTTTCCCCTCCATCTAAGGCATTCATAAGTTATCAGTGTCGTTACTGTTTTATTATTCTAAATACTTCATCTTTAATCGTTTATTATGTTATCAATTTGAACGCCTACTTATTCCTCCGTCCTTCTCTATGGCTCTGAAACATGGCCAATACGCGTTGAAGACATGAAAAGGTTGACTGCTTTCGATCATAGATGTCTGCGATCTCTGTCTCACGTTAGGTGGTTTCACAAGATAAGTAATGTTGACGTTAGGCGTAGAGTGTTGGGCAAACAGGGAAAATCAATCGACGAGGTTATAAAGTTACATAGACTAAGATGGCTAGGTCACGTGGTGCGCATGCCTAACCACCGCCTCCCCCGACGGGCATTGTTAGCTGATATAGGTTCAGGTTGGAAAAGAGCCAGTGGTGGCCAAACAAAAACATGGCATCAATCCATGAAATCCTTGACAGTTAAACTGAGTCGGTCAGGTAGGGAGATGCAGACTCCCGGGTTGGGGCCCTCGGGACTCTAGGAATCAATGGCTGGAGACAATAGGTGACATGGCTCAAAATCGTTGTCAATGGCGCAGATGTATTCAATCTCTGTAATCTTTCATATTCCTTTCTACCATTACCCATTCTGTTTCACTCTTATATTTGTCAAACTCTATTAATTCTCTTCACTCATCTTCTTGTCTACCTCTGTGCTATTTGGAAGGTGGCAACTCGAACTGCTGCACTTCGGTGCCAAGTTCTATGTTGAATCCAGACAGACAGACAGACCTCATATACTCCTCGTAGTTTTCCAAAAGTTATTTTCTGTAATGCATTAAAATTGCTGTACACATATTAGAGTTGTGCCAGTAGTAAAACTTTTCAGCTGAATACTCCACATACAGCGATATATATATATATATATATATATATATATATGCTATCAGAAATACCATAATAATGTGTTTATTAGATATATCGCACAGTGAAACAGTGTTGTTTGCTGGATGATGAAGGTTCGAACACAATTTATTACTGTTCATAATCATATCAATTATAATTACACGACTTCGAAACTTGAGTTTTATAGCGTTCTTTATTCTTTCCTATTCGTCGTCATAGGGGTAGTAGAATTGTCCAGATGTCAGGGTGGGACAGGTTTCGAATCATTCCTAAAACACGTGTTTGCAGTTGATTCAATTAATAAAACTTCTGTTACCAATCTCTCCCTTCACCCTGTCACATTGGATTTTCAACTGCAAACATGTGTAACAGGAATGATTCAACACCTGTTCGCCCTGACATCTGGACAATTCTACTACCCTATGACGACGAATAGGAAAGAATAAAGAACGCTATAAAACTCAAGTTTCGAAGTCGTGTAATTATAATTGATATGATTATGAACAGTAATAAATTGTGTTCGAACCCTCGTCACCCAGTAAACAACACTGTTTCACTGTGTGATATATCTAATAAACACATTAATATAGTATTTCTGATTATATATATATATATATATATATATATATATATATATATATATATATATATATATATACAGGAAGTATTCAGTCGAAGGGTTCTATCGAAAATCGATAAATTCATTAGATTCTGTTTTACTTATATTTAGAAGACAGTAGGATTGAGCGAAAAAATTGGCTTTTCAATTTAACCCTCATCTATCGCACTTCTACTCCAATATATGTATGGCAATTTTAATACAATACAAAAACTTATTCATGTAGTTGAAGTGTTAGTCTAGTAGTTAACAATAATTAGTCAATATACACACGTCAAACAGGATGATAATTAATCTAAAGCAAAATGAATGCAACAGACGGAGGGTTCATATAAATTCGAAACAAACAAAGCTGCACAATTATTAAATAATTGTTATGTACTCGTCGCTAAATTATTATTATTATTATGGACTGGTCGAGAAACTAATAGTCCTGACGCGAGAAGGCGGAAATCAGAAGACCACTAGGTTTGCGATGATACTTCTATTGTCCAAACACAAGGAGACGAAAATATAATGGTCTCACACCAAAGTGATAAGTAAGTAAAGTAGTTGTAAAGTAGTTCACACAGAATGTGTGAACGAAATATATATATAACAAAATATATATAGCAGACATGTCAAACAACCATATATGGATATATGTCACTAAGCAACGGACTGTCAACAAACACTCATATTATATATAATATAAATGGAATATACATTGTTAAAGCAGACAGGTTCATACAAGTGAAATGGTCACAGACTAAGCGAGCAAATAGAAAGAGACCAACATACACACACACATAAATATATATATGTGGATACATATCAATAATACTTCTAAAAGGTCATGAAAAATGGTCACTAGAGGTCAATTATAATTGTCATTTTAGAGCATAACAAAAGACTCTTCGATGTTTCTTCTGCACACATACAGCGAAATCTCTCTCTATACACACACGCTAAGAAAACCTTGAAGTGTGTATACAAACGAAGTGAGTGCAGTCTGTTTTGCTAGCCTGCCACCTTTAAACCTTTCAAGACTTGTGTATAGGATAATATGATGGTGAATATAAATTGTACAGTTAGTCATAATAGTGGTGATGATAATATTAATAATAGTAATAATAATAATGGTCTTATCAATAATAAGGATGAAAAAATGAGGCAATCTGTGATAACACGAATAATGAAAAACAGTATTTCAAGACTTGTGCAGTAATTTTGTATGTTATCCATTTTCATCCGCATTTCTTCTTTGTTTTGAAAATCCTAACCTTGAAATATATTTTTACTACATATTCTGATTCTCTTATACTCATAAACAATATTCTCCTTTTCTGAACACTATTCATCACTTAGTGTTTTTTTCTCGACTCCGTAAGACTACTATGGTGAGAACAGGCTGTTAGCCAAATTGGTAGACATTAATCTACGCCAATGTTTATATCCCCAAGATTGGTCATGGGAAAAATAAGAACAACGACTGATTCAACAACCAATCACAGCAGACTTTGCGTGGGCGGATACAATTAGCAGACAGACAATCTGAACTTCAATAAACGGCCACAAAGCGATGAAAGATTAACTTTTAGTGAGAAACAACCAATCAGAAGATAGTGTTTTTCTGCTAACAATAATCTATAATAATGTACATGAAAATCTATAAACATGTGTTGATTTTTAACGGTTTGATTTTCTTAATAAACGATCTGTTGCCTGACCCTTGTCTTCTATTGTTACACTACTACTTGACAGAGTGACATGTAATTTGATGTGTTTTTTTAATTAACTTATATTATTAATTGACGTGTGTACACATTTTCATGAACTTTTTAAAAAAAATACTAATTATACAGTTTGATGAGAAGTTAAGAAAACAGTATTCTTCGCTGACCTATTTCTTGTCAATTGATATCACATGAGTATTTTCATGCCAAAAAATGAAAACAAACCAAACTTTAACCATATAATACTATCCAATAAGTCAAACGTGTAGTAACCCCGGCGGTTAAACACCCGTCAACCACACACACATACTTGGTGCCAGTCTGATCCCCAGGAAACGCACTCTTAAACCATGACCTTTTTATACTCCTTTACGTTCCCAGTGGACCACAGGACTTCAAGCAACAGACTTGAAGTTTCGGTAGCAGTGGTGTTTCTTTTTACGGGTTGGAGTTGCTAGCCCCATGCCCAGCCCAACCTTTCCTCTTTACCAGCCTTATTACTGACTTAGAGAGTAAAGGAGTGCGTCGGCCATGGATCGAACCCCGGAACAAATGCGTGGATGGCGACCATTCCGTCACTGCGCCACCGACTCATTAAACCATGCTTACACAGTAGTAAGTTGGGAAGTTGGACGTGAGATTGGAAACCTCACTTCGTTGAAAATGACATCATCGCTACTGAAACTTAAAAACTCAAAGAAGTGAAGAAAACTGAATGTCAGCTGTGCATATAACACAATTCCATTTCAAGGGAAGAATATGTCAAAACCCAAAAAGCCTTCTATTAATCTATAAAGCTTACAAGATAAGGGAGTTACTGAGCAGACTTCAGTAATTTCAATTTACCAACTTTATTGAATGGTGTGTCGGTGGCACAGGGGTTAGCATGTTCGCCGACCATGCACATGGTCCGGGATTCGATCCCTGGCCGATTCACTCCTTTACCTCACTTATCCAGTAATAAGATTAGTAAGGAGGGAAGGTTGAGCATGAGGCTAGCAACCCCATCCCGTAAAAATAAACACTGATACAGAAACTTCAAGCTGGAGGCTTCAAGCCCTATGTTCCACTGGGGAACGTGAAGAAAATAAAAAAAACTATTGAATATGCTAATACAGACAACAGCGGTTGTCAAAACATCACTATCAGCTGTATACTGTGCTATAATAAGACGGCCTTCTTCACCAGACAACATAAGGTCGAATTTTCAATATATATATATATATATATATATATATATATATATATATGAGAAGAAAAGATAAAACTGTCCGACACTGGCTAAGCTCTATGTTACACCGAATGATACTTATTTGCTCACGAGATAATTAGTATACAGTATAAGTAGCATGACATGTTCTAGGAGTGTACAGATCTTACAAGTGAAAGAATAGATTTAGAATTTAAACTGAAAAGATTACTTGAGGTATCGCATGAAACTGAAAGTCACGTGCGCATCATACACTTAAAATATAATAATAATAAACTCATTAGGACTATGACACACACAGACACACACTGCACTTCATTGTTGGTGGTTTGGCTATTTTAGTAAACGCTTACATCAAAGCAGTACACAGATGTGATCTTTGTGGTATACAAAAGTGACTTATCGGTTCAACCAATGAGTCACAGGACTCAACCTGGCCAACCGTGTAGTATTATACGTATTAGTGAAAACAAAACACGTAGATCACCGAACAGTCTCTTTTCGGCGAATTCATTTTCTTAGCTGTACAACCGCAGTTCTTTTGATTTTGATGACTTAATTTTGCTTCTCTGCCTGTTCTTTAATTGCTTATAACTCTTGTATTCATTTAGGACTCTTACGTAATTTCGTATTATCTACTTTGTTCCTAAGTGCATCCTGAGTAAAACTCACTCATCAAACTATTCATATTATTACATAACTTCTTTTAACAACTGTTTGTGACAACTCATCACCTTTGTTACTACCCTAGTTTGATTAACACTTAATTTTCTTGACTTGTATTTCCAATCTTTACCTGTTTAGTTAAAATAACCATAACCAATCGTAATTTTGTTCGACAAACTTAATGTACACATACATACAAAATAACATATATATATATTTGCGATTGTACAACTAAGAAAATGAATTCACCGAAAAGAGACTATTCGCTGATCTACGTGTTTTGTTTTCATTAATGCCTGGATGGGGATTATTCATGATTTATACGTATTAGGTGCGACTCGTTACACACTACACGAACAAACATAAGACAGATGAATTCTATTAAGCTCTCCGGATTCAACGACGTCGACGTCTAGGAAAACTTACACCTAGAAGGGAAGTTATGAAATAAAAAACTGAGAATCATAATGCGGAGAACTGATAATAATAATAATAACTGGTTGTCGCAAAAGTACTTCAATAATTATCGGTTCTAAAAATCAACTATCTCCATAGACATTTGTCGATGGATCAACTCATCAGTGTGTAAGTGGGGAAAAAAGCAAAGAACATTTCCTCACTTTTAATACATCTTTCTTATTATATTTACGGAGTGTTGGTGGAGAAATAACCCCCGTTTCATTAGATTCCACAGTTAACTTATGACTAGATGAAACGGTTTGTTTGCCAATCGATGACTTAGCACTGTGCAAAAGTTTACGTAAATAGGCATAATCTGGTGTATCTGAATAACCCAACTGTTTGATTGACTGAATGAATGCCAGTATATCTGTTAGAAGGAGAATGAAATAAAAATGACTAAAAAAGGGAAGCTCAGAACAAGCAAACAAAAATTCACACAATCAATCTCTTATTCGTGATTTACTATTTAAAAACAAATTTGGTACATTATGAGCATTACGAGATCCACCACACAGAAATAAAAAGCAACAATGTGAGTAGGTGGCACAGTGGTTGTTAATTCCACGCCCAGAAATGGAATCTTTGAATCGTTTTCTAATTCCTTTGTGAATTTAATCGAAGGATGGGAATTATTAAATTCTTGTAAGATGCAGTTGAGGTCCGAGTTATCGTAGCGGACTATAAAGGTATCGTCAACATACCTTTTCTACAGTAGTGACTTATTTATTGTTGATTTTAAAACTCCGCTCCTCAAACTGGCCATAAAGCAGTCTGCTAAAAGCGGGCCAAGAGGAAATCCCATTGCAATTCCGTCTTTCTGTCTGTAGATGTCGCCGTTGAAGGTGCATCTCAGCAACAATTCCTTCAAATATGATATTGGTACTCAGATGCTTATGTTGGATTTCTCCATATAATTGCACAGGAATGTGTCATTATTAAATCTTTATTTTCTCTCAGTTCTTTGAGTTGTTGCCTATGTTCTTTTGTCAGGAGACGTCGGGCTTGAGTTTTTAAGCTGAGATACTGATTACAGCAATCGAAGGTTGTTGACTTAAAGTGTAGGAATTCTGCGTCGGAAACTGGAGTAATATCATGAGTTTGGCTTATGAGATTCTCGAATTGAATGTACGTATGAAGTCTGTTGCTGTTAAGATTAACGTCACAGAATTTTAGTCCAAGAGACAGAGCTTCTAGTTGTACCGTTGGTAACGGAACTAAAGAGTGATTGAAGACAAATTTATTAGGATCGCTGGGGAACTTATTCTGGACTTCCATGGGTTTCAGGCTTTTGTTCAAATCTGATTTAACATTTTCCGCTGTTCTGTTCTGCACCAGAGTAAGGTATTCATTGAACGATTGTCTCTCGCATGATGATAATTCACAAAAAGCGGAAGATCTCTGTGATATGTTTCTTTGCAATTCGAATATACGTGAACTTATAGAATCGATGACGTTTCTAGTGTGACGTTGAAGAGTTTTTGAATAAGGATATATATGATGTCTACGCAGCGCTTTCCAGAACCATTTTGAATATTCACGATTGTTAATACATCTCTCGAAAAATTCCAATTTCGCATTTACTTCGGCAGGTCTGAAATAGTAACGTAGAAACCCGTTCAGTTCCTTCGTTGTAAAAGGGTCATTGCTCTTTACCAGATCGTGGAAAACCCCCAAATGGACATTAGAAAGCAGAGAACACGAAGTTCAGCAAAGATATCTTTTCAGCGATTTCATTTTCTTTAAATTTTGTTTTTATAACTTTGTGTGGTTCCTTGAAGTTTGACAACTTGATTAGTTGCCTTTTGTACAAAGTTCTAAGTTTAAAATTCACTTCAGTTCATGTGCTAGTGTTAATCAAAATTTTTACTTCAGGAAAGTGATGCAGGTCTAACTTTTTGGGCAAACCACTGGTTTCAAAAAGTTTGCAGATACTAATAGGGATTAATAAGCAAGCGTTTTTAAATTTATAAACGCTTTATTTCTGATGAATGTACTCGTGATTGTTTTCATCCAGTTTCATTTACTGTTGAGGAAGTAAAAATTCCCCAAAGTTAGCACCCATAATTGATTGTTTTGTTGTTAACAGCAGAGAATCAGTTGATACTGACCGTTAGCTTGTCTCATACTAGTAATATTCCAGTGGTGCTCGGGAGGCAAAAACACGAGAGAGCCAGGCAGGCTTTAGACCAGGAAGAGGGTGTATTGATCATATCTTCACCCTCCGACAGATTCTAGAACATAGGGATTCCTACCGGCGTCCAACAGTCATTATATTTCTTGACCTAAAGGCAGCTTTCGACTCTGTCGATCGGGAAGTTCTCTGGAGATGCTTGGCTGTAAAGGGAATGCCGAGGAAATATATTGCACTGATTAAGGCACTCTACTCGTACTCATACAGCCAGGTGAGGGCTTACGGCGAGCTGTCATCTGAACTGATGACGACCAGTGGTGTCCGTCAAGGATGCCCATTATCCCCTTTTCTATTCAACTTCATCATAGATGTGTTAATGGACTTAACCCTAGGTGACTTCAGCGACTCAGGGATTGACTTGCTACCGGGGAATAATCTCGTTGACTTGGAATATGCAGACGATATAGTCCTTCTAGGCGAAGACGCTGACAAAATGCAGAGTCTTCTGAACACACTGAGCCGTAATCTACGAATGTTTGGCATGCGATTCGCTCCCGCCAAATGCAAGATGATGTTACAGGACTGGACTACACCGACTCCTAGATTAGAAATAAGAAGTGAAGTGGTAGAGCACGTTGATCGCTTCACTTATTTGGGAAGTACCATCAGCCAGTGTCAGCGGGTTGATCTCTGACGAAATCTCAGCACGGATACAGAGGGCTAGTTTCGCATATGCCAGTTTACACCCTCTCTGCCATAGACGAGATATCCGACTATCGATCAAAGGGCGGGTGTACTGCTCACCAGTCCGCTCTGTCCTTCTTTATGGCTGCGAGACCTGGCCATTGAGAGTGGAAGACATGAAAAGATTAGCTGTCTTTGATCATAGGTGCCTGCGCTCTATCTCCCGTGTGAAGTGGCATAATAAGGTGAGCAATATTGAGCTTAAGCGTCGAGTTCTAGGTAGGGAGGGGAAATCAATCGACGAGGTTGTGAAATTACATCGACTGAGGTGGTTAGGACATGTGTTACGAATGTCAAGCCATCGCCTCCCTCGACGAGCTATGTTAGCGGATATAGGGTCAGACTGGAAAAGAGCTACCGGAGGTCAAACAAAAACATGGCACCAGTCAATGAAATCCACAACAGTTAGTCTAAGCCAGCCACGTAGGAAGGTGAAGACTTCCTGACTGGTTGGGGTCCTCGGGACGGTAAAAACCAATGGTTGGAAACAGTTGGTGATATGGCTCAAAATCGTTCTCAGTGGCGCAGATGCATCCACTCCTTGTGACTTATGATCTCCAATGAAACTGTTTTGTTCTTCGTTATTACTCCTCCTTTGTCTCACCCCTCTGCTCACTGTTTCGATCATGCTTTTCTTATACTTTCTTCTCTTGCTTCGCGTGCTACACGGAGTGTGGCGACTTGAACTTCCGCACATTTGTGCAAAGTTCTATGTCGAAAACAGACAGACAGTGTTAATTTGGAGGGATTTAATTGACTTCAATTTCGATCACGAAATGACATCAATTAAAGAACAATTGAAAACTAGGGAGTAACTAAATGGGTCGACCGACTGGCTCACTTCGAAACCTGAAGGTCCTGGTTTTGGTTTCCTTGTGAACTACTGACGAAGAGTCCCAAACTAGGTCGAAACACTTGATCAGTACATCCTGGTTTCCAATGGTTCTCTAAATGATATCCTTTCAGAATCCAACTTAAATAGTAATACTAAGTCGCTTTAGAATAAATATACAACTGTAAGGTGTTTAATGAGAGAAATCTACCAGCCAGTAGGAATAACTGTTCAGTGAATAAGAAAGTTGGCGCATACACGCGGGTTCAGTATACGAGAATTGTCTGTCAAACAGTACTTACTTACAGAGTAGGCTTTCAAAAACTATCAAGTTTAATATATTCAGAAAAGTATAAAATAAAAACTAACCAGCATTTGGTCCATAACCAGCTTGTAATACAAATTCTGCAGGATTTTTCATTGTTTTCTCTTTTAAATCAGCCACTGACACTTTAACACGATCAGGAACATTAGCGCGTAATTTAGGGTCTGAATATTTTAGTAAGCAATAAAAACAGTCAAATTTGAGATTATTTAACAAATGAAGGTAAGTAAGCAAGTGATACTATTCGAAGCACAATCCTAAAATTGCTGACAGATATATACTGTACTTGACATTGTGGTGATATAGTCGTCTGACTGATATTAATTGATGGGAATCATATATCCATTCTAGATATTTATTATGAGTAAAGCTATAAATAATTAACTGTTTGAAAGGCAACTACAGCTTAACAGTCATCATATCATAATCGTTTACTCCACGAGTATCCCGAGGCTAACTAAAGAGTGTGTTAAAAACCGTTCAACTTTATCATTTAACAACTACTTGCACTTGCATGCAAATCGGCAATGGATCACATAAATTATGTGAGGAAGTACGAGGTGTCTACCTGGGAGAGCTGGAAAACCCTGATTCCAAACCTACGGTGTGCACATAGGCTCCGAATTCAGAACAGATTGAACGGTATATGAACTTGTTTTGGCCACTGGAAAACATGAAAATGTAGCTCCTGATGCTGTCCCACTGCCTTGTGAATTAGAGACTTCAGATCAAAGACTCAGGGAATGGCCTGTCAAGACAACCACCTGCTTTGATCTGGGAGTCTGGGCAATATCTCACCCGTCCTATAAACTATAAAATTTTGTGTAGCGCATCTCTTGATGACCGTAATGTACCAAGTTTGTTTTTGTATTAAACACATATTATATGAGGGTTGACGATAAGCACTGCTTGCTTGAACCTCGCTAGGTGAAGTGTGGTGTTCGAATTACTGACCAAGTGAGTTGGAAGTCAGTTGTCTAAACAAGTCAGTCACGGCTCTAATGACCACTCTCATATATCATCTATGAATCATTTCTGAACAACATTTGATGAAGTCAAACTTTTAAGAAGACGATTTTTTTATGAAAACATTCAATAATTAGTTATTTATATCAATATCTAAAGAAAAAAGCTATTTAAACCTAAAATATCATTTTATATCATAATCTGAGATTTATTGGGTTAAGCAATCGACTTTCATCAGATAGGTCTTGGTTTCGAGTTCCGCTCCACCTGCTTCACAACCTGAGCAACTGGGTGGTAGCATCATCAACCCTCACACAATAAGTGTAGCTGCTCACAGCCTAGTACATAAAAAATATATTCCACGTAAAGTGAATTCGGATAAGAACAAATGAAAATAAATTAGATATTGAGAAATCACATCACTTGGAGTTAATCGATAATATAAAAATAATGAAGTCGAATAAAGAACTACCAGTAACACTATGGAGAGTAGTAGGCATTGGCTATCTTTATTTTTGTCCTAGTTAGGGATTCATCAACAGTAATGAACCCACTGGACTCCGAACCTAGGACCATCCCGGCGACAAGGCGAGCTCGTCGGTTATTCAGATATATCATAGCAGGATATAAAAATGCATACTGTATAAGATGGAACAACTTCTATATGTTTACTGTTTCAGATGAGTGAAGTAAACCTGCTGGAAAGACTATGACCTTTCAGTTACTGCGATAATAAGAACACGTGCTACACAGTTCACTTTCAGTCTGTCAAAATGAGTAGTTGATTGCAATAGGATAAGGATGAAAACACCTTAATTTATACAGCTCAGAATGCTATCACTCTATAAAGCACCAGCTTTTAATACCATCAGTTAATTAAAGTTGTATCTCATGTATTTAAGCACTTGACTTTTATCCAGAACACTATGAGTTTGAATTTCATCTCATATGAAGATATTTGAGCAGTAGGGTATTAAAGTTATCCTTCAGAACACTACATATAGTGTAAGTAGTTGTTCAGTGAGGAAAATTACAATTTCACCCACTCAAACTTTTCACGAAAGTAGAATACAATAGCTAGCTTTAGCTAACCTAAATTCCCACCAGTAATACGAATGAAACATTTTTTTACATTAGATTGAGAAAAAACACAACAGGAAGTGCTGTGTTGAAGCAGTGTTTGTCTAAATGAGTTTTTTATTTGTAGATATGCGGTTCATTGGCTTTATCATTTGTAATTACAGCTAGTGGGGTGTATGGACTGAACTCAGCTCTACATGCTTCATCCTGCGCGACAGCATAGTATCGTCAACACTCACACAGTAAGACGAGGCTCATAAACTGATACGTGAAAATCTATTCTGCGTAACTGAGTTCTAACTGACTTGCTAATCTTACTGCAGAATGGAGCTTTACGGTGTTTCACTAACAGGCAACTACTGTTCATCTCAAAGTTTCAGTAAACAAATTCCGCAGTTTTGTCAAATGAAGCTCAATTGTCATACTACAATGATTTTTTTCTGGAAACTGATTTCCATTTCACTTTTCATTTAGCTGAAAGTGTAACTGTTATGTGAATGCTTAGAATAATTTTACCTGAAATGAGATATCCCCAAGGAAGACCAGTGGAATGTAACTGAGGAGCATTGGGATGAGATCGAGCCAACCAATGAATAAGATTGAACAGTAGAATTTCCAAATCTCCACGACGAGATGGAGGGAGTCCTATAAAGATGAAAACAAGATATTTATGTTATGAGAGGATTTGACACCGTTTGAAAACAAAATTGCTAAAGTTTATAAGAAAACTAGTGTTGGAGGCTGAGAAACTACACAACAAAACACAGGGCAATAAGCAGACAAATCAGAGAGGGTTCTTGAGTAAAATAAACGCAGCTAGATGAGGATCATGTATCATTAATATGTGTGAATACTCATTTACAGCTTGTTGCATAAAAAAGACTGGCATTTGATTTCCGTTTTAATCTATGGGTCACATTACTTCATAGGAGAAAAGAAGGTAAAACCTAAAAGCTAATACGTCAAACAAATGAGATCAATGAGTTCAACAATTTGAAACTTACCAAATACAAACAAACAGCTGAATAAAATAATTCAACCAACTAAAAGAAACCAATCAAACGAAGTAGAGTTAATTAGCACTGTAAGCTTGAGCATACAAATCCATCTTTATTCATTCATTCAAAGTGACTAGTCAAAAGAAGACTTAGTAGGACAAATGTGATGAGAGCTGTCTGCAAGACAAATTGTAGACAACAATTAAAGTCAATGTTTACGTCCCAAATCGAGGTCATAAGAGAAAGAACAAAGCCTAACCTTGAGGAACTCAATAACCAATCACAGCAGACTTAGCGTTGGCGGATACGATTCGCTGATATATCATCAGACTGTCTAAGAAAAGGCAACAAAGAGATGACAGGATAACCTTCAGAAGGAAAACAACCAATCAGAAGACTTTGCTTCTCTGCTAACAATAACGAATAATAATGTACATAAAAATCTAAAAATATCTCTTGATTTTCTCAATAAATGATCTGTTGCCTGGCCCTTGTCTTCTATCGTTACACAAATAACAGCAACATTTTCAAAACTAGTGACTGTTTTATCTTTGTAAACTATTTTTGAATCAGTCTTAGTCTATATATCACTTGAAGAACACAAAAATTGCTTAGGCCTATATACTCTACATTATTACAACACATTATCTTCATATACGAAAATCAACTTCGAAATGAAACTTAAAACAAAATATGACACTGCACTTTGACACAACTGAAACTGTATGAGAATGGTGTACATTATTCATTATGCATTTAAATAAGCACCTTACACAAACATGCATGAATGGAAGTTGTCCAATTTTCCAACGAGCGCTTCAGAAATTGACATATACGGTACCTTAATTATCATAAAATGAAGACATTTCTAAGGGAAAATAAACAGACAAACAGGATATATTACATACCAGTATGTGCATCTCGTGAACAAAACTCTATTGTTCCATTGTGTCGAAATTTAGGATCTGGTTTCTCAACAGTATGTACACCTTTTGAACGAAATAAGTGGACTAGACCAAAGTCAGCCAAATAAACCTTAAAGGCAACAGAGAGAAAACTTCCCTTATAACACATCAATAGGACAAAAGTTAACATAGTCCCATAAAATTATAAATTATACTTTTAATAGCCTATATAATAAATATTCAGTTCTAAAGATTCATGAATACAACTGACGGAAACTGACGATTCGCTCCCGCCAAATGCAAGATGATGTTACAGGACTGGACTACATGGACTCCTAGATTAGAAATAAGAAGTGAAGTGGTAGAGCACGTTGATCGCTTCACTTATTTGGGAAGTACCATCAGCCAGTGTCAGCGGGTTGATCTCTGACGAAATCTCAGCACGGATACAGAGGGCTAGTTTCGCATATGCCAGTTTACACCCTCTCTGCCATAGACGAGATATCCGACTATCGATCAAAGGGCGGGTGTACTGCTCACCAGTCCGCTCTGTCCTTCTTTATGGCTGCGAGACCTGGCCATTGAGAGTGGAAGACATGAAAAGATTAGCTGTCTTTGATCATAGGTGCCTGCGCTCTATCTCCCGTGTGAAGTGGCATATTAAGGTGAGCAATATTGAGCTTAAGCGTCGAGTTCTAGGTAAACAGGGGAAATCAATCGACGAAGTTGTGAAATTACATCGACTGAGGTGGTTAGGACATGTGTTACGTATCCACGCCTAGTCATCGCCTCCCTCGACAATGGGCAATGTTAGCTGATATAGGGCCAGGCTGGAAAAGAGCTAGCGGAGGTCAAACAAAAACATGGCACCAGTCAATGAAATCCACAACAGTTAGTCTAAGCCAGTCACGTAGGAAGGTGAAGACTTCCTGACTGGTTGGGGTCCTCGCGACGGTAAAAACCAATGGTTGGAAACAGTCGGTGACATGGCTCAAAATCGTTCTCAGTGGCTATCGCAGATGCATCCACTCCTTGTGACTTATGATTTCCAATGAAGCTGTTTTGTTCTTTGTGACTACTATTCCTTTGTCTCACACCTCTGTTTACTGTCTCTATTATGCGTTTCCCCTACTTTCTTCTCTTGCTTTGTTTGCTACACGGAGTGTGGCGACTTGAACTTCTGCACATTTGTGCAAAGTTCTATGTCGAAAACAGACAGACTGACGGAAACCACCATAGTTTATGCCTGTCCAACTCTTCAACGAAGTGCACTTATACTCTTAGGCAAATTAATTTCAACAAAGTTGACACTATAAATCTCACCAACTGTTTTTTTTATAAAACCTCTATGATCAAATATCAAAACTAGGGAAATACTAAACTGTTCTACTCTTGAGCTGCAAATATTTTGTCATTTTAAAACTGGTCCTCTGGTTAGAATGTTATCAAATAATGAGTAAGAGATACTTAAACTCTTTGATACATTTTCATTGTTGATACCACGCTTCGGAACCAGTTGCATTTACACCGTGAATTCCATTGAACCCAAAGACATCTAGCAATTTTAAAGCTGCATATTGGTTAACTAATGCAAAATGGTGTGATGTCCGTTGTTAATCATTAGGTGTCATACCAGTTGGCATTATCAAAAATAGTGTATATCACCGTTAGCAGACAGAAGTGAAAGAAAAATTGTAGGGACCAGAAGAGGACTGAGTGCTGCTTAGGAGTCTAACACCTGACTTCCTCTATACCATGGGAAGTTAGCTTTTCCGAAGGTATTTGAAGCAAAATAAAGGTCATTTTGTGCAGTCTTAGACAACAAAACAAATATTCTCTTACCACATCCCGCCACCTCTGCAACATGGAAGATAACTCCGTTAACTTATAGTCAGTTGCGGCAAATAATTTACCGCTATCTCACCTCCATCCAATTATCAGTGTAACTTTATCGTCGCAACTAAAATTATTTACACCACAACGCTTCTGGAGTCTCATGACCTTACAGAACAATTAACCTAGACAACATAGCTTGCTACGTCATTGTGATATGCAAGCTGAGTCACAACTTCCTCCCCTTATCTATTTGAACATGACCTGGAAAACATTCGCATGTGTCTTTCTGCATGATTAATTCAATGTAGTTTGCTTACTTATTAGTCTTATATCTCCCAATGTAATTTCAAAAGTATATATATCCGTGTATGTAGAGTTGACAGCTGACGAGTTCTACCGAAATTTGATGAATTCATTAAATCCTGCTTTATTAACCTTTATTGCTTGTTTTAAATTCGTATCGGGAAATAAATGTTTTCAATTCCATAGAAAGGTCGTTGGTTCGGTAGTTAATACTTCATAAATAAATTACCTACCAAACGGTGACCAGTCCTCAAGAATAAAGCATTTTCCATCAGTTTCCTCTCACACATATAAACTAGTAACAAGGTAACAAGTAAAAGTCTGCATTATCCGTCTGCGTCAACCACTTTAACCACTTCCACCTGATTGCTAGTGATGTACAACTTCAAGAATCGATGTCATCGAAACCTGTCACACAAATTTCGTATTACCTATATGAGTTCATATAAATTTGAATCCCTTCTAAATAAATGTGTGGCTGAATAAAAAAATTGTTTTTTTATCGATGCCACGATTGATTGTATCATAAGGAAAAATTGCTTAGTAGCCAAATAAAACTAACCTCTTGTTTGGACGATAAATGAAGAAGATTAGAAGCTTTAATATCTGCATGAGCGTAGTCTCTTGAATGCATATATTCTAGTGCACTTAGCTGAAAATTCAAAAGTTATCTTAAATCAGTATACACATACACCTAAACAGTACTAAATGTTACTTTACTAAAATAATTATTTTTGTAAAACAAAAGTAAGGAATATGAATAGAGTCAAAACTTGAGAGAGACCGTGGAAAAAGCTTAGAATTATGTACAATCCTAATCAACAGGGCTCTATATCAAACCAGCTAAAAGACTTAACGACCAAGCTGGTGACCTAGAGATTTCCACCTTACATACAGCAACGACTCAGGTTTTAGTTTAATCATTGTCTCCATGACATTAAAATTAGCCTACAAAGCTAATATTACCTCAACCTCTAAAATAAGTCTTCACCAGATCGGTTGCTGCTGCAGAATGTCACTATACAATTTTTGTAGTGCAAGTCCAAGCCAGTGTCTCAAGATGACACCACTTATTGAAAGACGATTTCCACCATGCCTAAACACACGCCGTTGAACTTCAAAGTTACTTACAGACTATCGAACACGCAGAGTTGCTTTACGTTTTCAGCCCAGAGAAACCAGGTTCCACCGGTGTAGAGTGAGACTACGTGCGCTGAAGCATTGTAAACACAACCTTTGACTGTTAGACTAACGTAACGATAGGGCCAGAGGTGAACCAGACTGGTGTATCCCACCATAGGTTTCGCTAAACAGTTTGGGACTTTATCTGTCACACCTTTGCCATTTCTCACACAACTACCTAGGAATGTTAAATTTCCACCAATTCTAGCGATTTACCGAATATATTAGTATTTCACACTGATCTTTTGCCAATACTTTTTTCTCAATTCAGATGACTTTCTCGACTATTTTAGTTTTCAGTAACTGAGATAATTCACGACTACAGTCTCTTACACTATTTATCTACTTCTGTTTAACCTGACATATCCAGAAAATACAACTACTCGTAAAACTGCCTGTACGTCCCTTTGAAATGAGGCGTTAATCAAATGCCTTAACCCCGGCATATAAACAGGTTTTTAAACTCATGACACAAAAGTTATTAGTCACATGCCATGGTTAATAGGGAAATAAACATATGAACCAGAATATCTACTTGCATATTCGCCATTCACTTAGTGAAGCATTCACCCTTCCATGAATGAAAGCTGTTATGTTAATCGTCATACAAGACAAAGTGTTTGCATGGACATATCAATTACCTCGCTGCACCTTGAAGGGAGAAAATCATCAAAATACTCACCACATTTGCGCTGACTTCAAGAATACCAGATGCAGATATTTCACGATTCTTTAATGTGGATTCGAAATCTCCAGAGAAACGATCCATCACAAGGAATCGAAGAGCTGTTTTATTTAGATTAATCGACCCACTGCTTATATATCTCGGAATGCCAAGGTATTTAAGAGAATGACTCGACTTCCATGAGTTGACTTGTAACATTTTCAAAGAGTAAAAAGAATAATTGAATAGTTCATGAAAAATTGCCCTTACCAAATTGTTTCATAATTTAAGGTTGAAAAAAGTTTTAAAGGTAATAATGGCAGTCTCAACAGCCGAAGCATATGAGAACAAGCGGCCTTAACTGTAAAATTGAACAATAAAGTTATTTTCATCTTGACTCCAGCTGAGCAGCGCTCACAACCACATTACTCCAAAGAACACTTGTGTACAAGTTAGATGAAAGTTTAGGAACTGAGGGAGAAGGTTAGTAATCTAGATGTTCGACAGCCAGACCATTTCTTATTGACTCAACCAGTGCTCAATACCTCAAAATGTGCATTTTCTCTAAAAACAAAGTAATTACAGATAACATCCCGGTACCATGAGCCATACCGGGCAACTAAATAGATAAACTTCGTCGAATTCAGTGTGCAAAGCTACTAATCTATACCACAAGTATGGTATGAGTTCATCTTTAGTGAAGTACTACCTAATTCTTGGCGAGTTAATATCTTAAGAAACTACTAAAGAAAATTGAAACAGCAGGAGATACAAAAAAGCTGATTTCTCTGAAACATATCACAGGGATAACTTGCGAAGAGTTCAGATTCGGTACATTTCTACTTGGCATGTCACCTCTCAATATGCTGTTATTACACAACTACGTTACTAACTGTGATGTATAACCCCTGAATATACAGACCAGTAATAAGGTTTGCATCAAAACATGTAGTCAATTTGCATTATGAACCAATGGTTTAGGTATTGGTCATTAAACCAGTGAATTGCATGTTTGGATTCTATCTGACCTACCAAGGTGTAAAAATTTATGAATCACCCATCAGCTTTAGTATAACGGTATAGCTTAGCAAAAGAAACCAATGAGTCGTACTGAGCATACTGCAATGCACTATAGCTATTTTCGTCTTTGTCTGCAATATTGTTCATCATTAGGCACTTCACATAACCCTGTTTGAGCGTTTCAGTATGAGAAATACTTCATACAAACCTTACCAATACTTCTACTGCTCAAAATTGCAACCAGTTTTGCCATGAAACGAATTACAAGAACGCAATCCACTGCTTATCTGCGAAAGCAACAGCTACATTTTTCAGCATAACAGTATAATGAGGTAGACATACAACAACCAGATTCTGAGCCAATACAATTATACAAATAACTCTTTTAATATCGGAGCGTGAAATATACACCGTTAAGTCAGATCAAATAATTCTTCAAAAGAATAGGATTTCAATTTGAATGCAGATATCTAAGCAAAGTTGACACAGGATTACGAATCACCTACAACAGGATTAACTCATGATTTCTCGAAATTTTAGTCTCCTTCCCATACCATCACAATAACCCCGGTCTTTCCACTCGATCCTTGACGACCAGTGGTGTCCGTCAAGGATGCCCATTATCTGCTTTTCTATTCAACTTCATCATAGATGTGTTAATGGACTTAACCCTAGGTGACTTCAGCGATTCAGGGGTTGACTTGCTACCTGGGAATAATCTCGTTGACTTGGAATATGCAGACGATATAGTCCTTCTAGGCGAAGACGCTGACAAAATGCAGAGTCTTCTAAACACCTTGAACAGCAATCTACGAATGTTTGGCATGCGATTCGCTCCCGCCAAATGCAAGATGATGTTACAGGACTGGACTACGCTGGCTCCTAGTTTAGAAATAGGAAGCGAAGTGGTAGAGCACGTTGACCGCTTCACTTATTTGGGAAGTACCATCAGCCAGTGCCAACGGGCTGATCTCTGACGAAATCTCAGCACGAATACAAGGGGCTCGTTTCGCATTTGTTAGTTTACGCCGACTCTGGCGTAGACGAGATGTTCGACTATCGACCAAAGGGCGGGTGTACTGCTCATCAGTCCGCTCCGTCCTCCTTTATGGCCAGCTGGGAGACCTGGCCACCGAGAGTGGAAGACATGAAAAGATTAGCTGTCTTTGATCATAGGTGCCTGCGTTCTATTTCCCGTGTAAAGTGGCATAATAAGGTGAGCAACATGGAGGTTAGGCGTAGAGTTCTAGGTAAACAGGGGAAATCAATCGACGAAGTCGTGAAGCTACATCGACTGAGATGGTTAGGATATGTGTTACGTATGCCAAGTCATCGCCTCCCTCGACGAGCTATGTTAGCGGATATAGGGTCAGGCTGGAAAAAAGCTAGCGGCGGTCAAACAAAAACTTGGCATCAGTCAATGGAATCCACAACAGTTGGTCTTAGCCACGTAGGAAAGTGTAGACTTCCAGGCTTGGGTCCTCGGGACGGCAAAAATCTATGGTTGGAAACAATTGGTGACATGGCTCAAAATCGTTCTCAGTGGCGCAGATGCATCCACTCCCTGTGACTTATGATCTTCAATGAAATTGTTTTGTATTTCTTTATTACTCCTTTGTCTCACACCTCTGCTCAAAGTTTCTATTATGCTTTTCTTGTACTTTCTTCTCTTGCTTCGCGTGCTACACGGAATGTGGCGACTTGAACTTCCGCACATTTGTGCAAAGTTCTATGTCGAAAACAGACAGACAGACAGACTCGATCTAAAAGCAAGTCAAAAGGAGGTAATATAGAGCTAAATTCTACCCGAAAGTCTTATCAATAATATGGGTGGGGGCACAGTGAAATGGTATACATGTTTAGAAAACAAGAGACACAGACCTCGATAGAGAAAGTCAAAATACTGAACCAAATGATTAACATTATAAATAAACATACTTGCATTCTCAGAACATACTCGCATGTAAAAATGCATTTCAGTAAAAAGCGGCCCATTTTCTTGGGGTTCCTGCAAACATTATGTGTATAAAACAATATACTTACTATCTTAGCAACATAATGATAAGCTTTTTCACCCTCAAGTTTAACTAAATTTTATAAAGGAAACTAACGAACAGCTGGTACCTGCGTAGATTCGGCCGAAACCACCCTGACCGATCGCATTACCAATGACCCACTTTCTTTTAAGTGAGTCTTGTAACACTGTTCCGGTTTCTACAGGTTGTGCCAAGCTGTAAGCAGTCGTCTTAACAGCCCTACATTTCCGAACTGACATATCTAGTTGTAATTTGAATAGGCGGTGCCTATGGAGATGGGATAGCGGCACAAATGGCTTATGGAGAGGCTGAGCACTTCAAGGTCACTTATGCACGCTGTGATTGGTAGATTTTCTTCGGCGTAAACGTTGAGGCTAATACGTGTTGTACGTTACTGAAGCGGGCTTTGAAATAGCAATAATAAAAGTGGATAGACATTATATTTTTTAGCTTAAGGGACCAAGTTAACATGCTTATAAATTTCACAGATGTGAGAAGCATTAGATCCACTTACAAGGAGAATACTACTGGGTAACTTGATCAAAGAAATATAAAGCTTGAGGATTTTATCTTATTTAGTTAATTGTAACGGATGGATAAGAGTCACGTGTATAATATTTGCTTTTTATAAAAGAGAAAATGTGACAGGTGGTTTGGAAGTTACACAATTCCTGAAATATATCGTGGAATATATGGACGAGTAATCTATAGAATTTCACCAACTCTGTGGTTGTTCCTTGCTTTGTTCACATATTCAGTGTTGCTAAGATTAGGAATTGTTCACAAGAGGTAAGATTAATTTACCTGATATGTATTCCTCAATATGGTTGAAGGCATTCGAAGGAATACAATCCCAATCTCTGCTTGAAAAGTTCACATCCAGTTTCTGCGAACAGATCTGGTGGTGACGAAGATTGCAAAGACTGGCTCAACACCACTAACAAAGAAGGCAAACTGACACAAATGTTGCGAAGAGAGTGTTTGGTGGACTTAATGATGACTATGATGCAGCTACAAATAAACTCTACAACTGATTTTTTCACTGGATTGCTATTAACTCTCTTTAGTGTAGATATGTACTCTTTCATTCTGAGTCATTTTTAACTTGATTGATTATTGTTTCCTTACAAATATATGCATTTATGTCGACTAACTTTGTCTCTTTCACTTATCATTTTGACGACATTGCAGAGCTAACGAGAATATGGTAGGCAACGTATTAATACTTATGTGAAATGCGTCAGTCTTAAAATATTAATATTTCCTCAATGCATCATCAAGCCTTGCGTAAAGTGTTTCAGTTGCGTATAATATTGGTTTTCGCGATTGTTAAGAAAGTAGCCGTCAAACATGTTTTCGCACTGTAATAACGAAACATAACCTAGCAAATATGGGTTCTATACGTACACGACTTGTAGTGGTAGTCTAGGCACTTCATGCGCACTATGCAACGTATATTCTATTTATCACGAATAGTCTGCTATTCTTATGTTGCTTTTAACACCACTACCTCAAAGGAAATCATTGCGTTATAAAGAGATAACTACATTACTCTTCTTGTGCTGTCATTTCGTATCAATAGGCTCTTACATGATCACATTAACACTCTTACTCGTGCATTAGTTGATCACGTCACTAAATTTAATTGATTATTTTATTATCATAAAATACTGTAACGCACTAGATAGGCCTTTGTTGTGCATATCGCCTGTTTAAGGTTTACTAGCGAAAGCGATAACAGTGCCCCCATTTTGTCTACATTCAACCAGATGTAAATATGGCATTTTACCAATATTATGTCTTCTACACTAGCATCAATTTGCAACTCGACAAACAGTAACTATTATCAGTGTACGAATAAGGTGCAAAGTTTTTAAAACAATATTTATTTCGACAAATACATTCATAATATCACAAATATTTCATCAATTACACAAATATTATCCTTTTTAACCCCACTGGAATGTCTAAATGTATTGAGTGATTGTAGAATTGAAGACCATAACCTAGAAATTAAAAATGACAAAAATTCAGTCAGGAAATGATGGGCTAAATAAATAACTTGAAACACAGTACCTACTAGTTAAATGACTGCTTATTCACCGTTATCTGACGAAATTACCAACTCAGTTTCCTTTATTACTGTGAAATTTTGTAAACATAATGAAATCATAATTACCTAGATATTTAACTCTCTCCTAATCATTTAGGTAAAGTACACTGGAACAATTGGAGTTATTTTGCATTTTATATCATAATTGACATTTTCCAACAAATTCTGACATTTCTTATGCACCTCAGCATGTCAATTCCATAAGAGCATAAGAGCATTTCGTAAACACATTGAAAAAGACCACTTTTCTCACTTTTTACACGTTTTTTCGTTAAAATACGATTTTTAAAGTGCATTTCTGTCGAAAAAACCAGTAAAAACAACGTAGAATAGCCCAAACACAACGCCACGATAACGCCTTAAAACTGCAGCAATCAGCTGATTTGTGCCTCTATCCTATCCCGTGCCTATGTCCAAGGTCAAAACATCAAGGCGCGTACGCATGATCCGCCAAAATTAAATTTCAACATTTTAAGACGGTTATTTCAGTACTTCTTAGCGTACAGCGCAAATACATGAAATCTTTCAGCCAGCCGAAGTTCACCTAATAATATGTCATCTGCAGCATTCTTCCTATCACTGATAAGTCAGTGGTTCGCCACCACCTGACTGTTCCGGAAAGAACTGAGGCATGCGATTTTTATGACTTAAATGATGAACCTTAGTAAGATGGTCACTTTTGAGGAATTCTCTCCCCCACCTAGGCATTTTAAGATTATATCTGATATGCTAGTAATTGGCGTAGTTCTTCAAGTCACAATACGCAAGGAGGATTACACCACTTCCAATATCCTATATCGTTTCTGCGAGCTATCATAAACCAATCTGATTTCTTTGTGCTTGCTCCTTGAGCATGAATTAGAGGTCCCTGGCATTCAGTAAGCTTCTGCGTAGCTCATTCCACCACTCGACTGTAGTAGCTTTGGTTGACTCCAAAGAAGTGGTACTGGTATTAATCAGGCGTAGTTTGTAGTGTGTGGTATGTTAATACCGTGTCACTACTGTGAGTTTAGCTGATATTTTCGCCCATTAGTCATCCAGTGGCGTCAAAAGAAAAGAGACAATATTAACAGATGCAGTCAGTGTAGGATACGTGGACTAAAAGGAAAAAACCATCAAAACTTGCAGCTAATGAAATTTGAAGTTGATATATATATATATATATATATATATATAAATACCGGTAGTAGTAATAGTTTAAAAGACGTAATGGTTGGAGTAGTCAGGAGAGTAGGACAAGAGAGAATGTTAAGATATAAAACGGTGAGTTTAGATGTATACTGATTAAAAGTGCATGAGATTTTAGGGGGATAAGCCATTTGAACGCAGTCCCTGTGTCGCCGCATGATTGTCCAGCCTTCGTTTATAGCTGTACACGGAAGGTGCAGTAGCTACATTTGCCAGTAAGGAGTTCCAAGGATGTTGAATATGCAGTGAAAAGAAATCGGGGTTCTTTTCCCTCTGGTGATCCATCCTTCGGCGAATCCCATGAGGAAGCCCATACCTACTCAGTGGCAGAACACCTTTGTTTGGGTGATTCTGGTCATTTGTGATTCTATCAGTAATAATCAAGTCCCTCCTAAACCGACGGTAGCTAAGTGTGAATAGGCCTAATTTATTTAGCCGGTCATTATATGGTTTGTTTCGGAGACTGATCACCGTTGTTGTTGCCGGTCTTTGGACTCTTTCCAAAACGATCGGTTGTCCTCTAAGAAGTGGGGGTGCAATGTTGCTGGGATCTGATGTACGCTTTGCACAACCTCAGAAAGAGCTCAGTAGTGAGTTCACCTAATGGTCTATGTATAAAGTGAATGACCACATATGCCCTCGCCATATCACTCGTGTGATTCACGCTTGTGCCCATTTTCTGCGTTAGAAATAGACCTAAGTTACGCTCCAACGTTGTGCAGGACAAGCTTTCATTGCGCAGGATATAACTTGCATTCTGTAGTTTACAGGTGCGCAGTTGCACTACTGTGCAATTTTTTGGTTGGAAGTCATACTATTGGCCACCGCCCACTCTTTCTGAAGGTTTGGATCTGCCTGCAGCATATATGAGTCTCCCCAACACCTTACTGCCCTCCAAATCTCCATGTCGTCAGCGCAAACAAGACTCAGGAAGCCTAGACCATATGGTAGGTCATCGATACAAACCAAAAACATAGAAGGCCCTAAGGCAGAGCCGTGCGACACTCCTCATGACGAACTACGCCAAGTCGACTGGATTCGAT